TTTGAAAAATTCTGAAGAGAAGCATGAATGTCCTTGAAGAGCTGAACATTTTGATAGCTGAAATAGCTGAAAGTTTGCTGAAGTAGAATTTTCCCCATTCATTTGGATGGGGCAAAATTTTCAGAATAAAGCTGAATATTTTAAAAAGTATAAAAGTTACAAAAAAGTTATATACATCCGCGCATGTCCTGAAAAAGCCGAACATTTTGATACCTGAATGGCTTTTCTACTGAAAGTATGCTGAAGTAGTTAAGTGCCAAAAAACATACGGAATAATAATAATAATAATAAATAATTGGAAAACATAGTATGGATGCTGAATCAGCATCCTAATAATAATAATAATAAATAATTGGATAACATAGTATGGATGCTGAATCAGCATCCATACAATAAATAAGAGAATAACAATAGTGTGGATGCTTCACAGCACAATTAGTGTCCTCAGTTCCCAAATGCATATTAAGTGTTAAAAGGAAAGGTGATGTAACACAGTGCTAAAAATACCCCTGTCCCAGCTCTTTTAGAACGTGTTGCAGGCATCAAATTCAAAATGAGTGAATATTTGCAAAAAACGGCAAAGTTTATTAGTTTGAACATTAAATATCTTGTCTTTGTGGTGTATTCAATTAAATATGGGTCAAAAAGGATTTGCAAGTCAATGTATTCTATTTTTATTTACATTTTACACAATGTCCCAACTTCATTGAAATTTTTTTAGATGTGAACTTTGATCTGTGTTTCAGACCAGCCATGCATGCCTGACAGCAGAGGGTGCCAATCAGTTTGCCCAGGCCATGGGTGTCCCTGAGATACCCCAAGAGTCCCTCATCACTGAGTACTCCCGTATGCGCTGGATAAAGAACCTGGCACCCGGTGCTAACCCTGTGGAGTCCCAAATGTGAGACATAATATTTTAAGCTTAGTAGCATAACTTTCTATGATTCTTAAGAAAGCAAACCTGAGATATGAGTTGTATAAACCCCTAATTACTGCTTTGACTATGTAGCTTTGTTAAATAACGTTTCAGTTCTGAATTTAGCGAGTCTGGATTTACAGCAGTTAAAACTTATTCCATTTGCAACTCAGAAGCACAGGGGGAAAAAAGTCAAGGCATCCACAGAAACCTCTAAAACTGCATAATCAACCTCTCCATTGTCACTGCATACACTATGATCAGTATGTTCCAAATACTCATAGGGTGCTTTCCATAATGTGGTCCCTTTCCCCCATCCCCAACACCTGAGCTCCTCAGTCTCTCCAGAATAATTTTGAGGAATACCTTTTTTTACTGTCTCATCAGATCAGCCAACCAATCAGATGTTGTCTGGTCTAAAAACATGTCAGAGGATACACCTGTGGATCCTCAGTGCAATCTTCTCTTGAAGCCTCCTTTCCTGTGAGACAGATTTAAAGGATTGTAACATCCTCGACTATGACAGGTTTTGATTTCACCCTGAGTAAGGATGCACAAGGGAGCATAGTTAGCTAAATGAGAAGCATAACCAAATGCACTTGTTGCGGTATTACCTCCTCATATTAGAGATTTATTCAAAAAGTGAGGATGTTTTAAAGCTGAGCATGCAAATCAAAAAAGGCACAGAGGATTATGCAGCTGTAGTATTTTGACAGGTTTTTCCACTGTGACACTGGGTCATCATTGCTTATTGTTGTGCCTCAGATGATTACAGCTGTGTTGTTACAGAAGAGCAAGGCAGAAAAGTTTCATAGCCACTTTCTAAGCTTTCAGGCTTTGGATGTGATACTGAAATGAAAGGTTTGTCCTATTTTCACCTGATTTTATCTCGTTATCACATGGTAGTTAGTTTACTGCATGAAGCCAGTTACACATTTAGTGTTCATTTGAATAACATTAAGTAGTGAAGACATCATTCTGCTGGTCCTGAATGGTTTGTTGTGTAGGGGGAAGATGGGCACAGTTGGAGCTGTGGCAGTCGACAGTGAGGGCAACATATCCTGTGCCACCTCCACTGGTGGGATGCTGAACAAGATGGAAGGACGGGTGGGGGACACATCCTGCATAGGCCAGTCTGCACAATCTACTATTAAACAACTGAAAGTTTGTTCAAGGCTGAGCCATCTTTGCCAGTCTGTTGACCATAGACCAGTAGAAGTTTGACATGTGCACTTAGTAAACAAAGCATGCTTGGCTACTAATTGACAACAAGTTCTGCATTTTCTAACAAACTGTGCACTGTACTGGCACATACAGTGGATCTTGTGATGTTTATGTAGAAAAACCTGAGTGCATGTCTCATTTGAATTATGTTAAAAGGGCTTTGCATTTACAAGCACTGTAATACTGGGTAATTCATATTCATTATATTAGAGCCAAAGCACTGACCAGCTCATACTGATGACCTAATGTTAGAGTAGAGTAGGTACTTTATTGATCTCACAGTGGGGAAATTTCTGTGTTACAGCAGCAATAGAGAACAACCAACATAACACCATAAGAACACCAGACAGAATATAATATTTGAAAGACAATGAAGAACAAGAATGACCCTCCCACAATTAATCCCTGAGAACAAATGAAAAATACCTAAGAATAAGATAAAATATAGTATTCGAGAGAGACCAATAAGTCAAGGACAAGAATATTACTCCCATAATAAATCTGCAATGGGGGAAATACCTGTATTTCAGCCCTGGGGACCTCTGAAAAACTACTCAAAAATACCTAAAGCAAGCCAATATAAAGTATTCGAGAGAAATCAACAAGATTTTACATATGTGCATATTTACAATGCATTTTACCCCCAGGATTTGAGTGCTGCACCTCAGCTGACTATTACATAGCCCCTCATAATTTCACCTATCTTATCACTGCAGTGATAACTGTGGGGAGGAATGACCTGCGGTAACGCTCCTTCCTACAGTGGGGATATAACAGTCTTGTGCTAAAGCAGTTTATGGCCCTTAAATGTTTTGTTTGGTAAGAAAATCATCACAAGTGAACACCACTTTTGATTTTTCAAAGCCCAGATACGATCACCAGAAGTAAAAAGCTATTGTTAGACAGTGGATGAACTACACTCCTTATAGCGTGACCTGGTCTAACTAGTGATCACAGCTGGGGCCATTAGAATAGTTTGCAATGTTTGAATTTAAACACAGCAAGGCTGATAAAAGCGTTAAACATTATGAGTGGAGCATTTAGTGGTGTATTTTATGCTGTAGAACAAAGCATAAAAGTGTATTGGCCATGTGTTAACTGCAGACCTCATTTGTTGATCCAATCCAGCTAATGTTGCTGAGGAATTTGTCAGAACCCAAAGTGTAATTGGAGGTGATAAGTATACATTGCTGTGACCCTAACCCTGTGTAATCTGAAACTAACAGTGACATGAGTCGGTGGCCAGCCTAAAACAGACACCTGAAATGGCCAACAAAGGCCATTCAAAGATAACTTCATTAGTCATAACATAACAGAGAAACAAACATTTTAAACTGGTGAACATCTCCTTGGCTGTTTTAACAGACTAGAATATCTATCAATAATACATTCCTAATCTTTTTATGATTCATCTTTTCTCTAAAATCTAGTTGAAACTCCTTTTCCATGAAAATGAGAATAATTTGAGAGGATTAGAATTCAGCCGAGATCAGGACAAAGTGTCAATTTTAGCTTACTTTTGTTAATGCCTGCTACAGTGTATTTCAAGAGAATGTTAGCTATAGTATTAATCTTCCATTTAGTGAAAGAGATGTACAGTATAAATACACAATATACTGTACAAGCGCTTCTATAATCCTTTGAAAACATAAACATCACAACATATGAAACAGTTGAAAATGTGGCTTTTATCACAACATTTTACACCTTGCAGTCATAATCCTCCCAGTTTACTTGAATATCTAATTTCTAGTGTAATTCTTATTGCCACTCCACGTTTCACACTGGCTTAATATGAACAGTTAAACAACTGTACTCCTTTAATAACAGTCACTGATGAAATAAAACTGTGTTTTCCAAGCTTGAATGGGTACCACAGTAGGTTAATGTGATGTTTGTGGGTGTTAGGGAGTGGTGGTTATGCTGACAACAACTTGGGAGCAGTGTCAACTACAGGTGCTGGAGAAGCCATCATGAAAGTTACACTGGCACGACTCATCCTGTTCCACATGGAGCGAGGTAATCTACACTCTAATGTTGTCAAAAATATCGCTTTCAATACATATCAATTCTGAAAATTTGGAAAAGTTTCAATACTCATTTTCCATAGTACCACTATGCTAATACCAGCTGTACTTTCTTGCTGTTTCTTCTCTCTGACAGTGAGCCTCCTTTAACTCACTCACTCACCCACAGTGTTGTCTGCATCAGTGTGCCAACCTAGCAGCTTTCTCGCTAGGTTTAGCGACTTTTCAGACCCCTTTAGTGACTTATTTTCAAAAAAAAACAACTAGCACCAAATCTAGTGACTTTTTGACCGGGCCAAAAAGAGACACCTTCTAGGCTTGTACTCATCAAACATTTTGACCTCAGACCATTGAGAGACTTCTAGACAATTAGTAGGGCCTTAAATTGAATTGTGTATTTAACTGGAAGCCAGTGCAGAGATCTGGAGTAATGTGTTCTCTCTTCTTGGTATATACCAGTATTCCACCAGCAGCATATTGAATGAGTTTCAGTTGTCTAATGGTCTTACTGGGATGGCCAGTCAGGAGTGTGATACAGTAGTCTACCCTACTAGAAACTAATGCATGAATGAGCATTTCTAAATCTGGCTTAGACAGGACGTTTCTCATTTTAGCTGGTTTGAAGATGTCAGAATGATAACTTTGTTTCAGCTTTGATGTCACTATTAAAATTTAGATCCTCATCAATGATTACACCAAGATTCCTATCACAGGTATTAGTTTTTAGTGCTTTGGACTTAAGGTAAGCACTAAGTGCCAGCCTTCTTTCTTTAGTTCCAAAAATACTGTAATTCTCTGTTTGGTCTTTGTTTAGTTGGAAAAACATTTTGTTGCTTCCCATTGTTCACTTTTTCAAGACATAGTCATAGTTAAGTCTATATGACCATAGTCATTTGGTGAGAGCTTTAAATATATCTGAATGTCTTTCATATAGATATAAGCAACACTTTCCTTGAAATTTCAAAAAAGTGGAAACGTACCATTTGAATAGGAAGGGCCCAGGAATCAGTCGTCGTGGGATACCATACTTTGTGGCGATTTGTTCAGATTCATAATTAACAATACTTACTACATGTCCCCTGTCTTCTAGATATGATCCTGCCACCTGAGCATGGTTCCTGATTGTCTGGCCCAATTTCCCATTCTATCTAGAAGTAATTCATGATCCACAGTGTCAAATTGCTGCACTAAGACCTAATGTCATCAAAACTGTTATACTCAGAGTCATTACTCAAGCAAATGTTATTTAAAATCATGAGAACAATTTCAGACTTATAGTATGACTGAAAACCTGACAGAATTTATCAAGGACATCAATTATTTGCAAGAAGTGATTGATGTGGTTAAAAACTGCTTTTCAGTAATCTTATGAAAGGGAGATTTGAGATAGGTCTGTAGTTTCTTAGTATTGAAGTGTTCAGGTTTCTCTTTTTCAGGAGTGACCTTTTAACTGCACTTTTTAATGCTGGTGGAAAGAGGTGAATCATTAACAATATACGGCAATCCACTGCCAGAGAGCTAAAAACACTTTTTAAAAAGCTTGTGGGAATGTTGAATATTGAAGACCCCAGTTAAAATAAAAGGGCTGAAATCAGCACCTATAACTGAGAGCAATTCAGACAAGTCATCAATAAAGTATGCACAGTACTTGGGGGGTGTGTAGTCAGTAATTCATAAGATGATCAGAAGCTTCTCCATAAATGTCTAACAAATGTGAAACATCCTCATCCCTCCACTGACCCCTGTCGTTATTGCGCTTCTCCACAGTTATTTTTACTGGTCTGTGAATGGCTGACACTGAATGATGACAACAGGGATATGTGCATGTTCAGAGGAGTGAGATGCTAAAAAAACTTTCTGATCTGACTGTCCTGACAGCACGCTCACATGGTCAGAGATCAGATATGAGTCGGACTGAGGACTACATACAGTTTCTTGCAAGTGACTCAGATCTGATTTGAAAATGTCAGATTTAGTTTGTTCATAAAAGATCAGATTTGACTCACTCAGAGGGGAAAAATTGCAATTTGGGCCACTTCAGCATATAATGTGAATGTAGCCTAGTTAACCTTGCTATGGATTTAAAAGTGCTGGGTCCTACTGTACCTGAGTGTACCAACAGAGTTGAGCGGTTTAACAGCACAGAGTATGTGGCTCATGTTGCTCACAGGCTGACTCAGTTTGACTGCTGACAATCTTGATCAACATTTAATCCTGATTTACAACTTCATTTCTTCTCTCTTCTCAGGTCAGTCAGTGGAGGCAGCCAGTGATTTGGGCCTGGCCTACATGAAATCCAGAGTGGGTGGGCTGGGTGGAGTGGTGACCGTGGACCCCCAGGGCCACTGGGCTGCTCGTTTCTCCAGCCTGCAAATGGTCTGGGCTGCCGCCCAGAAAGATACCCTGCACTATGGCCTGTACACTGGAGAACACTTCACTCAGAGCATTGATGATCAACACTGACAAAATGTATAACCCTGGAGTTGAAAAAGTTTCGATTTTCATTTTCATTTTAGACTGATACCGAATGTTACAGGGGTGTTCAATAAAGACATGAAGGATCATGCCTGCTTGTGTTATATCATCTTAGAAATATTGTGTTCAGATCATATTTCCTTAAGTGTTCTTTTCTTGACACTATAAAAACAAAACAACAAATATATATATATA